GTTTGACATCCTGACAACTCTCGGTCCAATCAGAATCACCCTCCCTATAAATGAGGGGCTGCTTGACCCAGCTAAGGGCCTGTGATAGATGCTGGCCATGATAACACCAAGTGCAGAATGGGTAGAGAGCAGTACCAGGTCCCTCAGTCTGGGTTCAAGTACTTCTATGCCCACCACAACATAGGCCTGTTAGTCATTTCAGTGGTACAGGAGAAATCTAAATCAAACAAGAGTACCTCTAAGGAGAAGGACACAAAAAGGGTCAACCTACTTGGGAGAAAATCTTTTTCCTCTGTCTCATTACAACTCACTGTGTCAAATTGCCAGGCCTTCCTGGACAAATGGAACTTTTTTGCCTGGTATAGAGTGATGTCCTTTCTCTGAAAACTCCCCACATGACAAAGGGGGCAGAGTGACTCAGGAGAACAATCAAGGAAGGCCAGTTGGAGGCCAGGATGGGTACACAGATGGGAATGGGCACTTCCAACACTGAGGCCAGATCTATGGCATGGCAGTGACTATACATTGAGTATCCTGGCTCCAATCATCAGGCATCCCCAGGGAGGTGCATGTAATGATCAAGGATCTGCCCTTTGAGGGCAGTGAATTATTTAGTAAGTGAGCTGACAGCACTGTCTAAAAGACTGAAAGGCCACCTCACACTCCTTGGGGATTTACACACCAGCCCTATATCTCAAGCCATGCTGTCCTCAATCCCAGTCATGATAACAGGTGCCGTGTTAGCACTCCATGCAACATAAGTACTATGGCAAGAAGATGATAGACAAGAGGAGTCTCCAGGCTTCTTCCTCCTCAGTGATGCATCCTACTCCTATGGCACAGCAAGACATTTGACAGGACTCTTGGGAGCCACATCAAATCCAGGCCAGAAAGCACCATGTTTGGAAGCTGCCTTACCCCATTCCAGCAAGTATGGTCTGCCACTGCATTGGACAGATGTGTGTTGGAGATCATCACCCATTGCTATCTCATTCAGTTCCACTCTTTAACCCTGCTGTTTACCTACCACCCCTCAGGGACCCTTCTCACAAGAGCCTGTTACAAGCAGAAGTGGCCTCACTGGGGAGCCGTAGAGAAGGCGCCACCACAATTCAGGGGGGAAAGGTTTCTACTCCCTGTATTTTCTGATTCTAAAGATGAAAGGGGGTGGGGGGTCTTCATCCTGTCCTAGACCTAAGAAGATTAATCAGATACATACATTATCTCAGGTTCAGGATGATAACACTTGCATCCATCGTTCCATCTCTTCAAGCTCGGGACTGGTTCATGGCTCTGAACTTGCAGGATGTGTGCTTGCAGGAAGATTCTAAGCTTCACAGTGGGGCCCAACCATTACTAATCCAGGGGACTGCCTTTTGGACTCCCCCTGGCAAGAGCGTTTGCAAAATGCCTGGCTGTGGTGGCAGCGCACTTAAGGAGGAAGGGAATTCACATCTACTTATGCCTGAACGGTTGGCTGATCGGGGCAAATCTCAGAGGAGACCACAAAGATCCTGCACTATGTCTTCTAACTGTTCTCCAGGCTGGGACTCCTTGTGCACTATGAGAAGGCACTCAGATACTCCTGTTGTGATTATTGGACCTACAAAGTTACCCTAAGCTCAACTATAAAAAGTATGTAAAAGTTCATAAGATGTTACAATAAATGTGAAAAATAGGTCAAGCTGTTTACGATGACGAATGTGCAAGAAAACCAGACAGAAATTGTATTAGTCCAAACAATGTGGCCTACTAAAATAAGTCAAGGACTGTGTTGAGATCATACTTGGTAAACAAAAAAAATTTACCTATGTCAACTTTGGCCTTACAGAAATGGATTTAATTGGTGGACAAAATAATGAGGACAAAAACTGCCCTACTTTTACTCCTTTTTGGGGTCCTTAAAAAGACTGAAAAAAACAATCTTCTTCCCCCAGCTCATCTGCTGACTTACCAGCAGTTGGTAACTCAACTCATCTTGACAAGTCTAAAGAACTTTCTTCCTGAGAGAAAGGTTGGCTGGGCTTTCTCTTGTTTAAGGAACTTTGTTTTCACTTGTGAGTGCTGGAAGTTATCCCACTATCATGACATCCAGTCCTCAGCCCAGCAGTGGGGATATCTAATTGCCAGCACGACAAAGGCATGTAAGATCCTGTATAGTAATCTCTTTCCTTCTTGTGTGATTTTCTGCCTTCTGTTTCTTTCCTCTATCCTGACTCACTCTCTTGACTTTTCAAATCCTGAAGTCAAATATACTGCACTCATCCAAACCTGCCTTGTCTAAAGAGAAAGGATCCAACCAGATGATGGCCCTCACCAAATTGTAACTAATCAAGGTCCAAGAAGCAAGTGTCTTGGTAGACTTGCCAGCCAAAGCATCCACCTGTAACTAACTAGCGGTCCCGTGTTCCATAAACATCAGCAAAAGCCATGTTTCACCCATCTTTTCTCTCCTGTCTGTGAATGCCCTGTACTTCAGGATTGAGAATAAAATTAACTGTTTCCTTTCCATCAATTAAAAGTTGTTCTTAAACTAAGAGACTCTGATACCTTAACTCCAAAAGGAAAGAGACTTTAATAATATCTGAAGTTTGTTTTGCATAATCACTCAATCACAGTGTCAGTATAAATACTTGTTTTCATTTCTTGTTGGTTTGTATGGGTGTATTTAATCAATAAACTTTCAATATAAATAGATGCTTTTAGGTGTTTGCTAAGTAACCGAGTAAAACCAAGCTCTCCGTTTAATCATAGGCGTGAATCCTCTATCTATCACTGTTTCATGGTAGACAGTGAAAGAGTTTATAAACACCTTTAACTTTTTAGGCCTTTGAAATTTATATCCATAGAGCACTCCCTCCTTTCACTTCATTATGCATATGGCAAGTTAATCCCATGTGATGTTCATTCTCTTATCCTCTACGCAGGGAGAGAAGTGTGTGCAGTGGCATTTCTTATTTTGGTAGGATTTTTGTTTTTGTTTCATATATATGTTGCTCTGTATTTACGTTAGAAAAGGGCAAGGTCAAAGAAATGCACCTTGCACTTGGAGCAGAGGGTGGTGAGGTTTGTGATGGTTCTTAGTTCCTGTGGGAATTCACTGGACTGACCCTGGAAAAAGTTCTGTCTCCTGAGCTTTATTCTTATTGTTGAGTATTCCACTGTGCCAGAGAACAGTAGTTGTTGACCACTGTCTTCATCCTGGAGTCGAAGATCTGAAATCCATAAAGCAGCAACATAGAGCAATCCATTGACTTTTGTCAAGCATTATGCCCTTGATATGGCAGCTGGGCCGGATGCCAAGTTCCAGCGAGCAGTACTCCAATCATTATTTGACTGACGCAGCTGGCAGTCCTCATTCCCAGCATCCAGAGGGGATATTGCTTACTAGTCACAGTGGGATCCACACTGACACAATGTGGGAGAAGAAAGAATGGTTACATATGCTACAGTAACTGTGATTCTCTGAGATATTGTAATCTGTGTGGGTCCCACTACCTGCTCTCCATCCCTGCTCTTCAATGTCCTCAGCAACGTGAGCTTTGAATTGTGAAGGAAATGAGAGAAGGTCACGGCTGACCCACCCTTTATGCCCTTCTATGGGAGCACACGGAGGCACATGCATAGCCCCGACAGACACTGCTATTCAAAAGAATCCAATCTCACACACAAGGCACACCTGCACCTTACAGTCAGATCCACATTGACCACAACATTTTGAAGAACCACAGTTACTCTAGGATACGTGGCCATTCTCTCCAGGTTGTACCATTGTTTTTTTTATGGGAGAAGTTCAGCTAGTAACATAGAAGCTCTGGAAAGCCTCCTGCAGCAGAAGACTTGTTGTGCTCCTCTCCTGCTGGGTGAGCAGCTGTGTTGTGTGATCATGTGGAAAAACTAGACTCTGATCCCAGCAAGGAGAGTGAGCTGGTGCAATAGCAGGGCTATGGCTGATAAGTCTGCTGTTGTGCAAATCCAGTGGGAAAAAATCCTTTGTTGGGGTAGGGCTGCGGGGGGCTGCATGGATCCCAGTCTCTATTCCAGCCCATCTGGGTTGTTGAGTGAATTCTATTCCTCCCCAGCCCTATGTAGCTCCATCACACAAAGGTCATTTACTTGGGCTTTTTGCTGAATTTCACCCGGTTTGCAGCTCTCCGAGTGTTTAATGTGGAGCATTAGGGAAGATTGTACCCATTTGTTGGTCACACAAATGAAAGATAGTGCATTAAGAAAGTGCCTTTGTGCAGCTGAGCACAAACTGTTAATGGGGATTCAGCCTATTAACATATAATTAGACCCCCTGTTCCACTTCCATCACATGGGTTCAACTTGCCATTAAACTTGGTGAAGTGAAAGGAAGGAGAAAGTTTTAAAGAGAGAGGAGACAAAAGGAGATGGTATAAGAACAATGATTTGGCTGCCCCTCCCCATATATCAACCACTCGAGGGGAAATTAGCTGCACCCCACAGTTGAATCCAGTAACAGGCATGTTGTTGCTGTATTTCCAGTGCTGGGAGGCATTCTGCCACAGGGAGGTGATGGGCTAGAATCTTGTCTCATTTACACCAGAAACTCCACTGATCTCAAAAGAATTACTCCTGCTTTACATCGGTGTAACTGAGACCAGAATCTGGCCTCATGACCTACACTTTTAAATCTGTTGTTAAACAGATGTTTACAACAAAAGTATTTAATGTTATTTTGATAAAAAGACAGCTAAAAGTCCGATCGGAATATGAAAAACTATTAGTCGTTTAGCACCTTGCAGGCTGTTTTTTCAAAATGCAGTCATTGGTCATCTAAATAGCTGTGCTATTTTCTGAATGACTAATGGATGTTATTTTATACCTCTCAAAAAATGGAGCAGTACATGTCCTCGTTACATTTTTACCATTGATTAAATTGTTGTAATCAATTTAGTGCTGATGACACTAAAAACATTGTAATGTAACCTTTCAGAATCACTTTATTGAACAAAATGTCAAACTATCTTTTTCAGTCTTCCCAAGTAGATTCATTTTCTCAGTCTCAACTGCCAGCTCAAGAGAGCAATCATCTGGGATCCAGCAAAGTCTTCCATCAGGTATGTGAATCTTCCATCAATGTTAAAGAATGTTCTGCTGCTTGTTTTCCAGGAGAGCACCTCAAATATAATAAACCTAAGTAGATGGTTTCCCACAATGGAGGGTGAGACAAATAGTCCTTTTCTTCCCCACCTTCCCTCCCCCTGCAGTTGTGGAATTTTGTGTCTAGCACCTGAGTGCAGTCTGTGATCCCACTAGTCATTCAGTAGTACTTTGAGCTATGTCTGCTGCACACTGGGGGACAAACACCCCCCCCCCATATGTTCATGGGAAACTCTGTGAGTTTCAACTCTAAAAATTTCCAGTCCCTTCCATAGTATTTCCTGTGAAAGGGATAACTTATTCATCTAAAAAAGAAAAGGAGTACTTGTGGCACCTTAGAGACTAACAAATTTATTTGAGCATAAGCTTTTGTGAGCTACAGCTCACTTCATCAGATGCATTCAGTGGAAAATACAATGGGGATGTCATAAATATAAAGGGAAGGGTAAATCCCTTTAAAATCCCTCCTGGCCAGAGGAAAACTCCTCTCACCTGTAAAGGGTTAAGAAGCTAAAGGTAACCTCCCTGGCACCTGACCAAAATGACCAATGAGGAGACAAGATACTTTCAAAAGCTGGGAGGAGGGAGAGAAACAAAGGGTCTCTGTCTGTCTATATGCAGCTTCTGCCGGGGATAGACCAGGAATGGAGTCTTAGAACTTTTAGTAAGTAATCTAGCTAGGTATGTGTTAGATTATGATTTCTTTAAATGGCTGAGAAAAGAATTGTGCTGAATAGAATAACCATTTCTGTCTGTGTATCTTTTTTGTAACTTAAGGTTTTGCCTAGAGGGGTTCTCTATGTTCTGAATCTAATTACCCTGTAAGGTATCTACCATCCTGATTTTACAGAGGTGATTTTTTTACTTCTATTTACTTCTATTTCTATTAAAAGTCTTCTTGTAAGAAAACTGAATGCTTTTTCATTGTTCTCAGATCCAAGGGTTTGGGTCTGTGGTCACCTATGCAAATTGGTGAGGCTTTTTATCCAACATTTCCCAGGAAAGGGGGGGTGCAAGTGTTGGGAGGATTGTTCTTAAGATCCAAGGGTCTGGGTCTGTAGTCACCTAGGCAAATTGGTGAGGCTTTTTACCAAACCTTGTCCAGGAAGTGCGGTGCAAGGTTTTGGGAAGTATTTTGGGGGGAAAGACGTTTCCAAACAGCTCTTCCCCAGTAACCAGTATTTGTTTGGTGGTGGTAGCGGCTAATCCAAGGACAATGGGTGGAATATTTTGTACCTTGGGGAAGTTTTGACCTAAGCTGGTAAAGATAAGCTTAGGAGGTTTTTCATGCAGGTCCCCACATCTGTACCCTAGCGTTCAGAGTGGGGAAGAAACCTTGACAGGGGAGATTTATATACATAGAGAACATGAAACAATGGGTGTTACCATACACACTGTAACGAGAGTGTTCAGGTAAGGTGAGCTATTACCAGCAGGAGAGCAGGGGGGAAAAAGCCTTTTGTAGTGATAATCAAGGTGGGCCATTTCCAGCAGTTGACAAGAACATCTGAGGAACAGTGTGTGTGTGGGGGGAAATAAACATGGGGAAATACCCAAGATCCATAAACCTGGAAATCCTGGATGCTCCATCATCTCAGACATTGGCACCCTGACAGCAGGATTGTCTGGCTATGTAGACTCCCTCCTCAGGCCCTACGCTACCAGCACTCCCAGCTACCTTCGAGACACCACTGACTTCCTAAGGAAACTACAATCCATCGGTGATCTTCCTGAAAACACCATCCTGGCCACTATGGATGTAGAAGCCCTCTACACCAACATTTCACACAAAGATGGACTACAAGCCGTCAGGAACAGTATCCCCGATAATGTCACGGCAAACCTGGTGGCTAAACTTTATGTCTTTGTCCTCACCCATAACTATTTCACATTTGGGGACAATGTATACGTTCAAATCAGCGGCACTGCTATGGGTACCCGCATGGCCGCACAGTATGCCAACATTTTTTTGGCTGACTTAGAACAACGCTTCCTCAGCTCTCGTCCCCTAATGTCCCTACTCTACTTGCGCTACACTGATGACATCTTCATCATCTGGACCTGTGGAAAAGAAGCCCTTGAGGAATTCCACCATGATTTCAACAATTTCCATCCCATCATCAACCTCAGCCTGGACCAGTCCACACAAGAGATCCACTTCCTGGACACTACGGTGCTAATAAAGTGATGGTCACATAAACACCACCCTATACCAGAAACCTACTGACCGCTATATCTACCTACATGCCTCCAGCTTTCACCCAGACCACACCACACAATCCATTGTCTACAGCCAAGCTCTGCGATACAACTGCATTTGCTCCAACCCCTCAGACAGAGACAAACACCTACAAGATCTCTATCAAGCATACTTACAACTACAGTACCCACCTGCTGAAGTGAAGAAACAGATTGACAGAACCAGAAGAGTACCTGGAAGTTACCTACTACAGGACAGGCCCAACAAAGAAAATAACAGAACGCCACTAGCCATCACCTTCAGCCCTCAACTAAAACCTCTCCAAAGCATCATCAAGGATCTACAACCTATCCTGAAGGACGGCCCATCACTCTCACAGATCTTGGGAGACAGGCCAGTCCTTGCTTACAGACAGCCCCCCAACCTGAAGCAAATACTCACCAGCAACCACACACCACACAGCAGAACCACTAACCCAGGAACCTATCCTTGCAACGAAGCCCGTTGCCAGCTGTGTCCACATATCTATTCAGGGGACACCATCATAGGGCCTAATCACATCAGCCACACTATCAGAGGCTCGTTCACCTGCACATCTACCAATGTGATATATGCCATCATGTGCCAGCATTCCCCTCTGCCATATATATTGGTCAAACTGGACAGTCTCTACATAAAAGAATAAATGGACACAAATCAGACATCAAGAATTATAACATTCAAAAACCAGTCGGAGAACACTTCAATCTCTTTGGTCACTCGATTTACAGACCTAAAAGTTGCACTTCTTCAACAAAAAGACTTCAAAAACAGACTCCAATGAGAGACTGCTGAATTGGAATTAATTTGCAAACTGGATACAATTAACTTAGGCTTGAATAAAGACTGGGAGTGGATGGGTCATTACACAAAGTAAAACTATTTCCCCATGTTTATTTCCCCCGCTCTCCTCCCTCCCCCCTCCCCCGCCCACTGTTCCTCAGATGTTGTTGTCAACTGCTGGAAATGTCCCACCTTGATTATCACTACAAAAGGTTTCTTCCCCCCCCGGCTCTCCTGCTGGTAATAGCTCACCTTACCTGATCACTCTTGTTACAGTGTGTATGGTAACACCCATTGTTTCATGTTCTCTATGTATATAAATCTCCCCCCTGTATTTTCCACTGAATGCATCCGATGAAGTGAGCTGTAGCTCATGAAAGCTTATGCTCAAATTTATTAGTCGCTTAAGGTGCCCCAAGTACTCCTTTTCTTTTTGTGGATACAGACTAACACGGCTGCTACTCTGAAACTTATTCATCTCAGGTGCTTGGTTTGTTTTTTTAATAAAATACAGGAAAAACCCCTTGTCATTATAAGTGCCTTAGGAACCAGACTCCCTCCTTCTTCAGAGCTTTTACATTCTACAGGAGTATAAAACTTTCAGCACCGAATCTATGGTCTTGATCCTGCTATTGATAGCACACAGGCAATCTCTTTCAGGATTGGAACCTATTTTTGCACTCAAATCTGTCTACAAGAGGAAGGTTTCTACACTGAATACTTTCTTTGCAGCTATTAGATGGGATGCAAACAATTTGGATACCAAATATGGTAGTTCCCATCAGTCACAAAAGTTTTTACCACACACATCAATAACTGAGTTTAAAGCATTTGTGATGCAGCAGTGTTTTGCAAATAACAAAAAGACCTAGACCTAGACGCACAAAAGGCATTAGGTACCTAAATCCCTTTTTAGGCACCTAAATCCCAGTGTGATACACAACTCTCATGGAACTCTGTAGGCGCCTAAACACACTCGGTGCCTATATTTTGGCCCCTGGGCATTTGCACTGTTGCCTCCTTCTAGATTTCAAGACACCTATCCCCCGCCTAAACGTCAAAGCAGTTCACAAACCAGTGGGAAGATAGGCATTCGGCTACTTAAGTCATGTATGGGGTCCAATCGTGTAGGCATTCTCAGAGACTGCCTACTGGATCGGGCCCCTCAGGTGAATTCACACAAAACTGGGGAGGAGGGAACCTCAACCTCCCTCATAGCTTTTAGCTCAGTGATTTAGGTACTCACCTGGGATGTGGGAGATCCAGGTTCAAGTTCTCCCTCCACTGGAAGGGGGAGAAGGGATTTGAACAGGGATCTGCCACATCTTAGGGTGCTCTAACCACTGGAATAGTCTGATGTAGAGCACCCTCAGTCTCTCCTGTTGAAGGTAGTGCACTCTGGATCCTCCCGCCTCCCAGATGAGTGCTCTAACCACCAGGCTATAGAGCCATTCTCATGCCTCTCATGCCCTAGTATTTGTTTTCTCTTTCGCGTGTGCGCACATCTTGTGGGGAAGAGGGAGGGAGGATGGAGAGCGAGCGAGCACAAGCATGAGAATGACTCTATAGCCTGGTGGTTAGAGCCAGTGGTGAGCTGGAGTCAGTTCGCACCGGTTTTCTGGAACCAGTTGTTAAATTTAGAAGCCCTTTTAGAACCAGTTGTTCCGCAAGGGACATCTGGTTCTAAAAGGGCTTCTAAATTTAACCGGCCAAAAGTGGCGCCTTAGGCGCCAACTCCATGGGTGCTTCAGCCCTGGAGCACCCAAGGGGAAAATTTGATGGGTGCAGAGCACCCACTGGCAGCTCCCTACCCCACCCCCAGCCCCAGCTCACCTCCGCTCTGCCTCCGCCTCCTCCCCTGAACGCACCACCCCGCTCTGCTTCACCGCCCCCCCAGCTGTTCACGCGGGAAGCCGGGGTGGGCAGAGAAGCAGGCCGCGGCTTCCTGCTCAGGCCCAGGGAGGCAGAGCGGAGCTAAGCTCGGGTGGGGGGAGGGGGGCGCGAGGAGGGCCGCCCGCACCGCAGCAGGTAACCCGGGGGGGGCACGCAGGGGAACCGCTCCCCGCCTCAGCTCACCTCCGCCACCCTCGGCCTGAGTGGGAAGCCACGGCCTGCTTCTCAGCCCTCCCAGGCTTCCCGCCGAACAGCTGATTTGCGGGAAGCCGGGGGGGGTGCGGAGAAGCAGAGCGGGGCGGTGGGTTCAGGGGAGGAGGCAGAGTGGAGATGAGCTGGGGCTGGGCGCAGGGAGCTGCCGGTGGGTGCTCTGCACCCACCAAATTTTCCCAATGGGTGCTCCAGCCCAGAGCACCCAGGGAGTTGGCACCAAAGGCGCCACTTTTGATGTGATCAGTGGGGGAGCGGCCACTCCCCCAGTTCTCCCCCAGCTATGCTCCCCCACCCCTAGGAGCCAGAGGGACCTGCCGGATGCTTCCTGGGAGCTGCCCCTGGTAAGCACCGCCGGGACTTCCCACCTCGCCCCCCCTGGCAGGTGCCTCTGTCTTTTAGGGGTGGGGTGGGCACCCACTACGGTGATTCACGAGACCCTCCTGCCCGGTTCTGGGGGCAGTCAGGGGACAGGGGAGGGGGTGGATGGGGCAGGGGTCCGGGGGGGGGGCGTCAAGGAACTCGGGGGGGTTGGATGGGGCAGGAGTCCCAGGGGATGGGGGTGGGCAACGACCCCCTCGTGGGGTGAGGAGGGAACCCACTGTTAAGATTTTGGCAGCTCATCACTGGTTAGAGCCAGGATTTTTTTTCTACACTTAACTCAGAAATTGCTGACTGAATTTTGCTCAGGTTTTCCAGAAAAATATAACATTTCGGCTGAAAAGGTATAGCAAAATGTCAACTCAGAAGGTGAAATTTAAAAAAAAAGTTACGAGAAACTAAAATTAGGTAGTTCTAAGAAAACTCATGCCATGAATTTATAGTGGAAGCAAGTGCTGCTGTTTTAACATATCTGTTCATCTATTAATAATTGTGTTCTTGTACATTTTTTTATATGTTTTTGACAAATCAGTTTTAAAAGCATAGAAAAGCTATCGAGGTCACTCTTTCAAACTAAGCTGGTTTTTTTTTAAAAAAAAAATCTTTACCATGTAATTTTTATTTATTTGACTTCAGAAATTCAATAGCAGCATTAGTTCACTCCCTCATCTGGAAGGCCAAACGAAGCACAATTTCATTTTAAATACCGCCAGACCTCATCCACAAGACAGCAGCCTTCCTCACATAACAAAGAACCTGCAGAATGTGAACCTATTGCTTCAGGTGAATTAAAGGACATCTCATTTTTATATGGAGTGTAGCTGTAGCCATGTCTGTCCCAGGATATTAGAGAGACAAGGTGGGTGAGGCAATATCTTGTATTGGACCAATTTCTGTTGGTGAGAGAGACCAGCTTTTGAGCCACACAGAGCTCTTCTTCAGACTCTGAAGCTATTATCTCACTCACCTCGTCTATCTGATTGTTAGAGACTTTTGTTTGATGTTAACCGATTTGTTTCTAATGGAGCTGATGGAATTTTAGCGAATCTGATTAGTGACCTATCTGGATGTTTGTATATCTGTAGATAGATATAATTTACTGAAGATTTTTTTTCAGTTTCTATTTTCACTAGCACAGTTCCAGTTTAAACAAAAAAAAAAAAATTAGTGATGGGTGAATACCTAAAAGGTGTGGCAGCTAATTTGAGATATCGCCATAAATTTTGATGATTATCCAAAGTTACTTCAACCTTTTGAAGCCTTCTTCAATGTTGGCATTTAAAAATCCAACCAGTTCCGTCTGTCTTCCTCATTCTTCCCAACTCCTCTGTCCTTCTCTGATCCCTGCTCTCTAAATTCCTGTCTTTTTTCTTCAATAAATCAGATCTCTGATCTAAAGAGGTGACTCACTTTCTTTATCTCTACAATGTTGATCCTTTTCCCTTCCTATGTGTGATGTTACTGTAACAAATCTATGGTGGAGTCTCAGTAGATTTGGCAGGTTCTGCTGGGCCCCATTCTGATCTATCTTCAGATCTTATGGACTAGACTAGATCTTCAGATCTTATGGACCAGACATGGAGCACCCATGGAAAATATTAGTGGGTGCTTAGCACTCACTGGCAGCCAACTCCTCCCTGCCTCCCCAGCGCCTCCCCCCCCGCCCGCAGCCCCACTGATCAACTTCTCCCTCTACCTCCCAGCTGTTCTGCGGCATGCAGGAGGCGCTGGGAGGCAGTGAGAGGAACAGGGATGGGGTGTGCTCAGGGGAGGGGACGGAAAGAGGTGGGGAAAAGGGGGGGCGGGAAGAGGCGGGGAGGGGGTGCAGCCTTGGGGAAAGGGGTGGAGTGGGGGTGGGGCCAGGGGAGGAGTGAGGGTGGGAAGAGGCGGAGTGGGGGTGGGGGCAGGGCCTGGGGCAGAACAGCTATCGAGCACTCCCTGGGTAGAGAGGAAGTCGATGCCTATGTTTCTGGATTAGAATTATCCCAGAATGCATTTTGCCTGTGATGCCATGGAATGCCTGGAGAATGCAAGCTTTATAAACAGCAGCTTGTCAGGTAGAGGTTTACTGAGACACTGCCATGGGTTGTATAACCTTTTTAGAAATGTGTGTGTAAGGGTTGAGTGGAGCTCTAGGGCACAGAACAACATACAGAATGGGGTAGAGAGGCTGCTTACCTGAAATGATTCAAACTATCAAAAAGGTTGAATTCCGTGGCCTGATGCAGCCAACCATTCACGCACAAACATGAGCTCAGGTCCCATTGTAGTCTGCTTAAGTTTCAACTCTAAGAATTTCCAGTTCTTACCTAGCATCTTCTGTGAACAGGTTAATTTACTAATCTAAGGGTTTGGGGAGATTGTCTTGTGTTTTAAGAAAACACTTAAAAGCCATTGTTATAAGAAGATGCATAGAGGCCAGACTCCTTCCTAAAGCAAGGCTTAGAAATTCCATAGGAGTGTAAAATGTCCAAATCAAATCATGTTGAAATTTAATAGTGAGAAGTGTAAGGTCATGCATTTAGGATTAATAACAAGAATTTTAGTTATAACTAGGACATCAACTAGAAGTAACGGAGGAGGAAAAGGACCTTGGAGTATTGGTTGATCATAGGATGACTATGAGCTCCAATGTGATATAGCTGTGAAAAAGCTAATGTCATCTTGGGATGCATCAGGAGAGGTATTTCCAGTAGGGATAAGGAGGTTTTAGTACCATTATATAAGGCACTGGTGAGACCTCACCTGAATACTGTGTATTCTGGTCTCCCATGTTTAAGAAGGATGAATTCAAACTGGAACAGGTACAAAGAAGGCTACTGAGATGATCCGAGGAATGGAAAACTTGTCTTATGAAAGGAGTAGGAGCTTGTTGTTTAGCCTAACTAAAAGAAGGTTGAGGGGAGATATGATTGCTCTCTATAAATATATCAGAGGGATAAATACCAGAGAGGGAGAGGAATTATTTAAACTCAGTACCAATGTGGACACAAGAACAAATGGATATAAATGCCACTAGGAAATTTAGATTAGAAATTAGACGAAGGTTTCTAACCATCAGAGGAGGAAGTTTTGAATAGCCTTCCGAGGGAAGTAGTGGGAAGATTATCTTGCTTTAAGATTAACCGATAAGTTTATGAGGAGATGGTATGATGGGATAAATGGTTTTGGTAATTAAATATTCATGGTAAATAGGCCCAATGGCCTGTGATGGGTTTTTAGATGGGGTAAGATCCAAGTTACCGGAAAGAATTTTCTGTAGTATCTGGCTGATGAATCTTGCCCATATGCTCAGGGTTTAGTGACGCCATATTTGGGGTCGGGAAGGAATTTTCCTCCAGGCAGATTGGAGGCCTGGAGGTTTTCGCCTTCCTCTGTAGATAGGGACGGGCACTTGCTGGAGGATTCTCTGCTCCTTGAGGTCTTCAAACTACAATTTGAGGACTTCAATACACAGATATAGTGGAGTCTTTTTAGGAGTGGTGGGAATTTGTCCTCATTGTGCAGGAGGTCAGATAGATATCATAATGTCCCTTCTGGCCTAAATATCTATGAATCTATGAATCTATGTTTAAGTGCTTTGGTAAATCAGGGCCCCTATTAGGATGGAGGTTTGAGGTCTTTTGTTTTGTTTTTTTCTAAACCTGTTTTCTCAAGCTTAGAAGTAAAGAGGCACACTTTGACTCCTGGAATCACAGAAGTCAGAAACGGAAAACATCTCTTAGATCATCTTGTCCACCTCCTCAGCAGAAAGACCAGGGCCAGATCCTCAACTTGTGTAAATTTTCATAGCTTAACTGAAGTCAATGGAGCTATGACAGTTCACACCAGCTGATAATTGAGCCCCAAGTATTGAATAGACATGGAAACTGAATTCCCCCTTTTCCCTTCAAGGTGTCTCTCTCCATGTCGGAATGAAGGCACATTGTAAGGGAAGTTTCCACTGTTGTTACCCATGCTGTACCTGTTCTCTGGATAAACGGAGGACTATATTCTCCAAGGATTCCAGGCCTTTTTTCAGCCCTAAATTAGCTTTAGAACATAAGAACAGCCATAATGGGTCAGACCAAAGGTCCATCTAGCCTAGTATCTTGTCTTCTGACAGTGGCCAGTGTCAGGTGCCCCAGAGGGAATGAACAAGGTAATCCTCAAGTGATCCATCCCCTGTTGCCCATTCCCAGCTTCTGGTAAACAGAGGCTAGGGACACCATCCCTGCCCATCCTGGCTAATAGCAACTGACGGACCTATCCTCCATGACCTTATCTAGTTCTTTTTTTAACCCTGTTATAGTCTTGGCCTTCACAACATCCTCTGACAAAGAGTTCCACAGGTTGACTTTAAACTTTAAAATCCCTAATAAAGTCCAAAGCCTCCAGCGTTTACTTCTGAGTGGGCTACAGGCAGCTGTTTTTATGTAACGGTAGGGGATGAGCTGAAAACGAGTGAAAATACAAGAAAGCAAAATGAAAATCTTTGTTGTTTGGCAGGAAAACAGATCTCGAGGCCAGCCACATTTTTCCCAATTTAACCTTGCAGAAAACCTGCTTGAAAGTGCTACCAGAGTCCATCCCAATAGGCCAGAAACAGAAGAAACCAACACCAGTCTCAAGCTGCCTCTGACAGCTCCAGGTACAGTATGAGCAGAAACAATGCAATGCTAGAGAGAACAGTGTAACAAACAGCACTCACTGAGGTGAATTGCTGTAAGAGTTCACTGAAATGCCTTTCTTGGGGAGGGGATAGGGGAAGGGATGCATTAGAGAATTTTTAAATATAATTTAACTGTTGATATTAAAATGTGAAACAAATAGACTAGTGCAAATATATAAGTGACAAGAGGATCATAGAATCAATCATAGAATCATAGGACTGGAAGGGACCTTGAGAGGTCATCTAGTCCAGTCCCTGCAAAGAAACCATGGCAAGGGCTTGTCCGGGACGTGTGACCTTGTTGTGGGAAGGCAAGTCACTAAGGGTCTGTCTACACTTGGAGTTGGGGGTGTGATTCCCGCCTTCGGAAGGCATACGTGCACTACTCTCATTGAGCCAGCACACTAAAAATAGAATGGTAGCCATGGCAGTGTGAGCTGCAGGACAGTCTCGCCTCCCTGGCTATCTACCCATATCAGGGTCTCTCATGGGGAAAAAATTGGGTTGAACAAAATGAACAATTTTTTCCACGTTGTTTTATTTCATTAATTTTTCAGGTATTTGTTATCCTTTAAAATTATTTTTAACAAATCTAGCTATATTTCTAAGTGAAATGTTACTTTGAAATGAAAAGTCTAAATGTTTCATTTTGAAAATGTCAAAACAAACAGTTTCAGCTTTTTAAAAAATATATATTTTTACATTTTTTATTTGGCTAAAATTATTTGCTGAATTCTACCCCAATTTGTGAATAATTCTGTTTGAGTGACAAATGCATTTTTTGGCAAATAATCTATTTACCAAAAAGAAAAAAAAATCACCTGGCTGTAGCTGCTCGTCTCATCTCTTTGCAAAAATATTCCCCCTAACAAGGGAGTAGCAGAAGGACCTGGCAATATTTTTCTGGAAATCAACCATCAGTGACTACAAATAAGGGAATGGTAGAGCAAATACATCCCCACATTGAACCTAACTCACTGCTGAACCTCTGTTATATAAACAGTGCCTAGATACTACTAGGCAATAATTATAGCCTGGTGATGGATCCATTAAAAACATACAAACAGATAGTCATAAGCAAAAATGACTGTCCAGTATATGGTGACTAAGAGTAAATTCTCCCTTCTGATCAGAATGGCAGATCTCAGCTCTGACATTCTGATTTCCTCAGGTTCAGGAAGCCTGTCATATATGGCACTACATAAACAAACAAGACACTTGGAACTGAAGTTGCCCTGTTCTTTCAAGGAGAATCTCACCCTCCTTACAATATAATTCCATGTGCAGTTGTCAACAGAAAAATATGAACGCGCATTCCCTTTTATTCAAAGGCACTGGTACCAGTGATTTTGAATGAATGGGGTAGGTAAGCTCTAGTCTTTAACCTTCTGCTTTCCCTATGTTTGGACTTGTGGAAGTAAACTTTTTTAAAAATTGACTTGACACAAGGACACAGTGTGACACTCTGGTGACAGGAACAATTCTGGGCTCTTCAGTTGCTGAGAATTTGACTTAAACTAATAAGGCTGGCCTCAGACCAACATGCAGGCAAAATTAAGACAGCTTAAAACAGCTCATTGGTTTGACAGTTCAGCAGAGATCCTCTGTAGCACTGGAGGACTGATGCTAGGTTTAGCCATTATAAGGACTAAATCCATTTGTTTCTGAGCCCTTTGCCTGGGGGATGTAAGACTGGTGGACTATGCATTTAGCTCTTTTTCGGAGGTGAGAGCATCTGACTTGAGTCAATGTGCTATTGTAAATATGCCTCAGGACAACTGTGATAGATGCTTTTTTTAGAAATTCAGGCGTGGGTCTTCAAAAGTGTTCAGCTTAGGCCTAGCTCTGCTTGCTGTGAAGTCAATGTAAATTACACCTGTGATCTGCATGGGAGTAGAGTTAGGCCAGTGCTGAGTGGATTTGAAATTTCCACCCTTAGTAAAGAAGCTAAAGCATAACACAAAGCAGCATTAGTACCTTCTTACAACATAACGGATCGCTGGGCTTCTGTTTTTCAGGGTTTATTCATTTTGTTTGGGAGAAGGGAGTTACTGTTAGCAATTTTTGAGTTTTATGTAGATGGCTTTGGGGGCTTGCTTTTTGTATATACTGTAGTGAGTAATGTATATTATTTACATTACTCATTACAGTAGTATATACTGCAATAAGTAATACCTTTGTAATGTTGCCTCATGCACTTGAACAGAGCACTGTTTCAAACGGTACTTCGTTAAAGTGCCCTAGGAACCCTTTAGTGTGTACCGGCAGGATCTATCCTGACTAATTAGTGCTCAATACATTTGTGCACTTCAAAACTCACACCTCCATAGTCCTCATTACAGCTCTGTATAGACAAGCCCTTACATACAAGTAACCATTTCTGGTGTTTTTCCAGGGTTTATTGGATAAACATCAATTTCTTTTCTTTTCTTTTATTTATTTGTTTGTTTATTTGTATTGGGGGTGTTTTATTGGGATTTATGAGTTAAAACCAAAAAATCAGAAGCCCTACAGATAGAATAAGCAGTGTGCAAATGAAGACAAGCTTCCAAAGACCAGCCACTCTGTGGACACACATTGGCCACCCCCATTTTCCACCCACAGGTGCATTCCAGACACTGTATACCCACAGTTCAAAAAAGGGAACCAATCACACTTACCAAACTTCTACCTACTTAACTGTGGGGGCAGATTAAGTAGTTAAGGCCAAAGAGGAAGATCAGGCAGCAGTGACAGCTGGGGCTCTTTTCCTCCCTTGGCCACCCAAGAAGAAGCATTAGCAGATACTTCCCAGAGCACCTGGGGTAAATCCATAGAGCCCTTCTGTGGAGCACACTGCCTCGTCATGCTCCAGGCAGACTAATCCTCCAGCTGCAAATTACATCAGTGACCTCATGATGTGACATCAGAATGGGGGCTCTAGTGGGTAATCAAGAAATATGCTTAGAAATACAGAGGATAGGTCTGACTTGTTTCTTCAACTCATGCACAACTGCTTTCTAAATAATACATCTAACAGTTTGCACTTAACACCATATTTCCAAGGAGCAAAATATACTTTGCAAACTTTACTTAGCTGAACCTCACTCATGGGGAGTACATAAAGCCATTTTACAGGTAGGCAAACCAAGGCCTAAGGGCCCAACTTTTAAAGGAGATATTTAGGTGCCTAAAGAAGCAGATAAGCACCTACTGGGATTTTCAAAAGCTGAGATCAATGGGAGTTAGGCACGTAGGTGCTGTTGACAATTCTACCAGGCCCCTAAATGTCTCTAGAAGACTGGCTCTAAGAGAATAAATGATTTGCGAAGGGTCACACAGCAAGGCAGAGTCAGGAAAAGAACACAGTTGATAGGGGAGTATAAAAATAACGAATTAATCACTTTACATTTAAAGAAAACTTTTACTGTAAGAATCACAATTGAATTGCATCACCAAGGTATTCCACATTTTCACTGTTGATTTTTTTTTCAATTCAGAAGCCTTGAAATATTTTAGAAACCAGTTAACAGTATATGAGCAAGAAGAAATTCTAAACTATGCAGAGCTGTGGTTTCTTGGTCTGGAAGCTAAAAAGATTGAAGGGTTACCTGAAACACAGAATAATAATTGTTATGATGATGAACATGGCACTTACATAAAGGTAAGAGGGAAAATCATGGTACTGGTATTCTGGGCAACAATATTTGTAGTGACTATTTGTCCACTGCTAGTTGGTCTATATGAGATAAATGAGGGTCTTAGATGACTTGCTAGCAGTTAAATGGCCACATTGCAAACCCATCACTATTGACAACCTGTTTGAATCTCAAAAGCGAAGCTCTGAATGGAGACCCACCTTCCCTTGACGCAAGGTTCATTAGTTGAGGGCTTGTGCTGCTTCTGCTAGTGCACTTCTCTCTCTCTCAACTTGTCCTGTGGGCGTAAGACGTCAGGTTTTGCCAGTCCAGCACCTTTCATGAGCAGTGAATTCACAAACATGCACACCACTCTAGAATATGAACCTTCAATTTGTGCCGGCACCAGAACCTTGCATTTTGTTTCCTTGTCTACTGCAGGTTCTGCATGACCATATTGCTTACCGCTACGAAGTGCTAGAGGTCATTGGGAAAGGGTCGTTTGGACAAGTAGCAAAATGTTTGGATCATAAAACCAATGAACTAGTGGCAGTGAAAATAATAAGGAACAAGAAAAGGTATGGCATGGCACGACTTCAAGAGGTTAAAGAGGTCTTTGATAGGCTGATACTTTTCTATTCATGAGAATAATCATCCCCTGCTTTATTATGGATAATTTACAAGTAATGATCGGTTTATGCTGTAAGAAAAAGGATGCTTGCTTATTCCATATGTACAAATACTTCTAAAAATTTTGCGTGAGTTTGTTGGCAATAAAATTGGAAGGATGCTACGTCCTGGAGAGTCAGGCATGATGTGGGCAGGAATGGTGCAAGCTCCCTGCACGTAGCTGGGCCAATGCACCTCATTTCTGACCTACTTCGTCCCCCACAATTCCAGTTATATTCCCCCCACTTCATAACTCTGCCAATTCACTTCTATCCTGACTTGCAAAACTGCATTTTATTCCAATACTGGACTCCCAAATAGCTTTGTTATAGAGTTATCCAATAGGGCTTGTTATAAGGCTTGTTTACATGGGGAAGTTAGTGTGAAAGGGTTAGGATGTGAATTTAAAGCACGATAGTTATTCCGCACCACCTCCCCATGTGGGCATTCTTATTCTGCACTAAGAAGGCCTTTTTGCAGTTTATCTTAATCCACTTCAAAGTGGATTAACCGAAACATCACAAAGGCACTTTTAGTATGGAATAAGAGTGTCCCCACACAGAATTATTGCAGAATACCTGTTCCACACTAGATATTCTAGGCTTTTTTCCCCCCAGTACACAAACCCTTAGACCAGGACTACACTACAAAGTTTTGCCAGCATAGCTATGTCAGTCAGCGGTATTAAAGAAACACATCCCTGACAGACATAGCTATGCTGGCAAACCCTCCCCCACACCAATGTAGATTTAGCTCTACCAGCAAAAGAGTCCTTTGGCCAGTATAGTTTATGTTGTCTGGGTAGGGGGTTTAAAAGGAGTTTAACAAAAGAACTCCTTTTGCCAGTATAAGCTGAGTCCCACTTGGGGGCTCTGCCAGGATAGCTATACTGGTATAGCTGTATTGGCAAAGCCTTTGTAGCCTAGATCAGCTCTTTTACTCTGGAAAAATCCACAAGTGCAAAAAAGATGGTAAAAACCATAGGAATGGCAAGGTTATTCGTAAAAGAGATTAAAAATCTTAGGACCATTTAGTTTGGAAAGGAGAAGAAGAGGAAAATTGAATAAAAGGAATGATATGTGGAAAACCAGGATGGTGCTTGTATTCATTCCTCCTCGTAGCATAAGAACAAGAGAGCACGATCAAAAGGTAGCAAACTTAAAACTGACAAAAAGGGAGCACTTTATTTTCCCAGCATAGAGTCAGTTTGATGAAAATAAGAGCCACAGGAAATCATCCAGGCAAACAGTGTAGTGTGATTTTAAAGGGTTTAGCTGTTGATACAGAAATGTATAAAATATACAGGGAATATTCATACCTATGCTGAGGACAAAGCAGAGCATCTTCAGAGGCTGAAAAATTCCCCCCTCTTCCAACATGATATAATGTTGCATAGTTAGAAAATAGGGTGGGGGACAATCACCTTCCTATGAAGCATCCAGCAATGACCCATTGCTGGAGACGGCATACGGCATTAGGAGGACCAATAGCTGGCTCCAGCATAGGAAATTTTACAGTATGGTCCTACAATTTTTCTTCCCCTCTTAGTAATGGCCAGGCTTGTTCTACTAAGCAGTGCTGTTGTACCAGGCCCAGAAAATTTTACTACTAAAATTCTTGGGGCCTGATCCAGCAGCATTGGAGTCAATGGGAGTTGTGCTATTATCTTAAGCAGGAAATTAATTAGGCCCTTTCATTGCATGCTTTATTCTTGCTTCAGTAAGCCTCTTGTACAGATACTATAAAAAACTGAAGACCTTGCTACTCTTGGGGTGAAATCTTGGCTCTGTTGAAGTAAATGGAAAGACTCCCATTGATTTCACTGAGGCCAGGATTTCACCCTAGATGCTCAAACATGTATTATTTGAAACATTTTTTCATTCAATTATTTTGCCAGCCAGGTTCAAAATAACCAGAATAGATAGTGGTTAGCATTATGAAGTCAGCATTTGCCAATAATTACCACACAGTATTTCTCTCTACTTAGACTAGGAAATAACTCTTGTAGTTCAGATTCTACTGTGTGGTAGTTACCGGTCACTACTGATTCTTTAATGAGAGCCATTTGTTTTGTATCTGTGGCAAGATCATTTTGGTTGTAGTATTCCATTTACAATTAGACTAAATTAATCAGGTCCTCGCCATATCATGTGACTTTGTCCTATGCGTGTAGATTTCACAATCAGGCTTTGGTAGAAGTGAAGATTCTCGATGCTCTTCGGAAGAAGGACAAAGACAATACTCACAATGTTGTCCATATGAAGGAATGCTTTTACTTTCGCAATCACTTCTGCATTTCTTTTGAACTGCTAGGGTAAGGTATATATTCTTCTACATATATCATGGGCCAAATGATATAGGATCGCAGACCCATACATGTTATGAATATAACTTGTCTGTTATTTTCTTTCTTTTTAGTGTTTTTGAGTAGGGTTGCCAACCCTCCAGGATTGTCCTGGAATCTCCAGGAATTAAAGATTAATCTTTAATTAAAGATTATGCCATGTGATGAAATCTCCAAGAATACAGCCAACCAAAATTGGAAACCCCATTTTTGAGTTGGTCGGTTGTGTTTTTTTCTGGTTCACACCATGTATGTTTAGTTTACAGACATCTGTGTTAATTTACACATCATTTCCTCTCCCTGCACACCCCACTATCAAGAGCCCTTGAAAAAGGATGGGGAACAAAGTAGAGAAAAATGGCCTGAGAATGTAGAAAGGACACAGATGATCTATTTACGTATAGGGCCAGATTGTGGTATTTAGCCACAGCCCTGAGAGGGATACTTCCTTTTCCCAAGAGGCACAATCCTTCCCCTAGCTCCCCAAAGCATAGAGGGAGCATACCTGATGCACCATCCAATGAGATGTGGTTGAGGCCCCTCCCCACCCTTTTGGGGGGCAATTTGCATCCCTGAGTGGTGCAAAGAAGAAGCAATCTCTCAGCACAGAGCCTGGGATTGACCTTAGCTCTTGGTGCTCACGGGTAGATGGGAAAAGGCTCCTTATTAGACTTCCTCCACCACATACACCATGTGCACCCTTATTAGAACCAGGCACAATCTGTGCATAATTCTTGTTCTGTGCATGTTATATTTCTTTAGCTGATGGAATGAAATGGAAAAAAAAATTAAAAAGTGAATGTAGGGGTTGGTGAACATTAGGGGTTGTTATGCTGATCTGCCCTCTTTTGTTCCCCTTGAAAACTCCTGATAAAGAACATGTAGTTTAGGTTTGTCCTAATATTCAGTCTAACACTATATAAATAGTGCACAGCATTGCAATTTTTAGCAAGGGAAAACAAGCCGTGACAGACTCCCATAGGACACGGTGCTGAAAAATACCCATGATTCCCTCAAAATAGTAACCAGGTGGAGATGATAGAATAGGAGAAAAATACAGGAACCAGCAAGTGAACTTGACCTTTATAATTGCATCTATTGTCTCACAAACATGATAACAAATATCAGGAATGTGGGGTGTGTTTTAAAATGATTATTTCAGCTGTTTTTAAAGATACTGGACGTCAGAAGTTAAAAATACAATGATTGTTATTGTTTTGTGAATGTACTTTATAGGAGGAAGTTTGGAGAAATCATGGACACTTTTATTTTTCACATTTCTTGTAATCAAATGTCAAATGGGAGTTCAAGCAATTGCTTAGTTTTCCGTTTTCTAAAAAAAATCTTCTCCAATTGCGTACAGATGTAGCAGGCTTTTCTTCCCATCCATTCTAGTATTCTCAGCATGCTGAAGACTCAGCAAATTATTAGAAGACTTGATCCCTGACTCTGACCTAAACTCAATGTCACATCCAGCTCATACTGATACATGTGAAAATGTGAACTCTGCCACGTGTGCTGATTAACATGATGTAATCAAAGGCCTCTTGGGTCCAATAAAGGCACCAGCCTGGGATCTCAGAAAGTCACTGTGGGAAAATGAGAGGAAAAGAGCTTCTGGCTATCCAGCAAGTTCATCCCCTTAAAAGAGACCTGGAACCTCTGTCCATAACATAAAAGCATATTTTTGCCTTATCGGCCCAATGGTAATTTAAATTATTAGTAAAGCAATAACTTGATTGATGAACGTTGTTTCCTACAGAATGAAAGCACCATGTACTAGCTAGTTTGTTTTCTAATGGCCAGATTCTGCCCATCCTTTGTGTGGATGTGCAAGAGAGGGAGGTCCCCCTATATACAGTGTCTTGCACCTATGCTCAGTAACTGGTCAGAATTCCATTGGGGAACACAGCATCATCTCCCTTCTAGTGCTTGCATAGGTCCCAGCTGTCTGAAAGCAAGCTGGGTGAGGGCAGGGCAATAGCTGTGTCCCCAGCACAGTTGGTCAGATGCGTAGCAAGAAGCATGCTCCACTGTCTCCAAGAGCGATGAAGCTGTGACCCACTGTGACCCACAACCCCTAAGAAGAAATCTGCCTAATTCAGCCAGAATTATTTCTGGGATTCCAATGGCAACACAGCCCCTCAAAACACATCACACCAATATGTCTCCGGCATACAGGGAAGAATCTAAACCTAAGATATATCAGTTATTCTGAAAATTGTGACTCAACATTCTACAAAATGCAAATGCTCTTGGTAAACCTTTGACACCTACTAGCAAGGTTGCCATTTTAGTTAATGGCCAGGCCCTTCTCCTACTCCTATGCCTCAGTTTCCCAAACTGTAAAATAGCAATTATAATCATGGTTACCTGCCTCAGAAGAGTGTTGCTTTATCATTGGTAAAGTAGTTAGGGGTCCTCGATTGAAAGGCACATTTATAGAAAAGAGGAGTAATCCAGTGGTTAGTGCACTAACCTGGGGCTTAGGACATCTGGGTTCAATTCCCTGCTCTGCTACAGACTTCCTGTGTGGCCTTGGGCAAGCCACTTTACCTCTCGGTACCTCAATTCCCACTTGTAAAATGGAGATAATAGCGCTTCCCTTGACGGTGTTGTGGGGATAAATTTGAGGTTGTGAGGTGCTCAGATACTATGATAATTGGGGCTATAATTGTAGATATCTAGAAATGCAGACAGTGCAAAACTACAACCAGGTAAAACAGATTTCATTGCAGACCTGAAAACTGGCCCAAGTTCATGGAAAATGTTTTGAGTGAACCTGGACAGAATGCTGAGTAAACCTGAGTTGAGCTCTCAGCAACACTGGAGCAGTTTATGGTTTCAGGAGGAACTGGAGAATTTGGTGTTTTGTCCCAAAAGCAAACCATGGCATTTTGAGGGGAGGGCTGCTTTGAGTTTTATGAACCCATAACTCAAAGTGAAACTCACACAAGTACAAACCTGTGCAAAGTGAAAGGGGAGAAAGGCTTATCCGCATGACCTGATGTACATTGACACTGCTGAGCTTTTCAGTGCTCTAGTGAACAGCATCACGAGATTCTTATTATCAGCCCTACTGCAGCAGCACCATTGCACTTCCCATCTCCTTTCTGGCCATGGCATTGCCTGGTGGGGATCTTGCCTTGCTGAGGAAGGTTGAAGGAAACAGCTAGTAAGGGAAGCCTCTTTTTCTATCTTATGTTTGTTTACTTGTTTTGCCCTTCCCGCTCCCATCAAACCACACATGACAGAAGTTAGTCACGTCACTTAATGCACTATTGAAAGGTGCTCATACTACATTGATGAGGACGGTATAAGAGCAATGGAAACTATACAGGTATTTTATCAAGGATGATTTCCCTTGAGCATCTGACCACAGGCACTGAGATACAAAGGAATTTATGGAAGGTGCCAAGTCAAAGGTCAATTAAAAAGAATGGGAACTGGACCAAACCTTTCTATCTCTTATTCCGCCAGTGAGAACGCTATTCTGCATGGTGAAAAATAATGGATTTGTGACACCTGGTTCAATAAATAAATGTGTCCCATTGACATTACTCATCCATTAGATCTGGAGGATCAAGATATTTATGCTTATTATATGCAATATAACTTTCCCAAGGAAAACTTACATGTTGTTTTATTCTGGGTGATTCCTTTCTCTCATGTAAGGAAAACAACAAGAGGCTTTCTAATGAGCTCTAAACTATTCATGCCATAAACCCAAAGTGCCCTGGTCTCTCTGTCTCATCCCGCAGAATAAATTTGTATCAGCTGATCAAAAAGAACAAGTTCCAAGGTTTTAGTTTGTCTTTGATTCGACGATTCACTCAGTGTGTGCTGAGATGTTTACAAATGCTCTACCGGGAAAAAATTATCCACTGTGACTTGAAACCTGTGAGTACTGTCATCTCATTATAAACCACTTTGTACAGTTCTTCTAAGGTGCATCTTATCTTTCACAGATAGAGAACTTCTGAAAGGATCTTTAAAACTCAACAGTGATAGGTAGAATCTATGATTCCTCTAAGGATACTTGTAGCTGGGGGATGTTATTCTCAGTTCAAGTAGATGTACTCATGCTAGCTCGCTAGAAATAGTAGTGTAGCAGTGCCGAGTACATACCCTCAGGGTCTGGGTAGGTTTGTACTCAGGGTGGCTGGTCCAGGATCCTGGCTTTGCAGCAACCTTGGCTTGAGCCAGGGTTCTCATGGCTTCCAGGCTCCTGTTGTTGATCCAGGAGCCAAGCCCCAGTTAGAGAGGGGGTTTCTGGGACTTTGGGACTCCCAGCTTCATGGCAAAGAAGCTGGAAGCCCTGACATGGTGGGGTTGCCCCAGAGCTGCAGACCCTAGAAGCCCAGGGTCCCTGGCCACAAGGGGGTCCCTATTTCCTCCTCTTACTCTTTCTCTCTCATAACTTTCATTTGGAGTTTTGCTTTAGTTCAAATAATTGGGCATATTTTGCCCTCCGCTATCAGTAAAGTGTATGAACAGGCAAGATAAAGTGATTTATATTACTATTAAAGAGTTAAGCATGACCTCATCATATTATACGTTACTTTTACCAAAGAGTTCACTAACCTACTGGGGTGTTATTGTCTTTCCCCCTTTTTATTTTTCCTCTGTAGGAGAACATATTGCTATACCACAAAGGTCAAAATTCAGTTAAAGTTATTGACTTTGGATCGAGCTGCTATGAACACCAAAGAGGTTTGCAGAAAAGTCAAGTTGATGTAATTTTCTTAATTAGATTTCTTAATTATTAAAAACTGGAAAAAAATTTTTATTTCATTGAGCTAATACAATGACACATGCCCATCATTTGCATCTATTGAACTAGTAAGCCAATGGGGTTCCCCTTGTGTCACCTACCAGCGCTTTCCCCCACACTGCTGAGACTGATCTACCACCTTTGATGATGATGGTTGATGATGATATAGAAATTGCTCTTAGCAAGTGTAGGGAGTTGAAATGCTTCCAAGTGAATAGCCCCACTGATTTCAATAAAACTTACTCTTTTCAGTGGGGGTTGACAGGATCAGACCGTGAGATCCTTTTTTATTTGCTAGTTAAGTTACAATTCATGCATTTTTTGAACCAAAAGTATTCTTTCCCTGAGTTGTGGTGGAATGAAAACAACTCGGGGCACTGGAGATAAAACAGCCATTTTAAAGAGATTTTTAAAATATTTTTTCTTGATAAGGTTTAAACAAAACGTACAACGAATAAACAAAACAAAACCAATAAACAAGAAATTAAACATAAAATGTGTCTTATAGCTGAATTGATGACAAAGAACTCACAACACTAAGAATAAATGTGTCGTTCAAGAGTGATATAAAGGTGAGGAAGGCTGTAGCACTTGTTAAATGGGAGAAATCTATATAATATTTTCACTAAGCATGGGGGGAAAAATCATGTCCTGTGTTCTTCTCTTTCTCCCATTAAACATGTTTCTCCACTCAGACAATATATACAAATTCTGCCAAGCACCCTGCTCTGGATTTTGGGATGGTTGGGTTGAAGTCAATTAGATTTACACAATCTGTTTTTGAAAGAGAGGTTAATCATTTTAGGCTTTCTGATGTTTGGATACAAGACAATAAGAGATTCACCCTGGAATATCTCTGGAGAGGAATAATTTGAAACATAGAAATTCAGTGGAAGAAATGTGGAGCATGATTCGTCTCCTCTTAGCTTAAATAAGACGGTTTTTTAGACCCCTGGGAAGCAGTAACTGAAAGATACCGAAGGGCAGGTAGTAGAAGACAAAGTTAGATATTAGTTCATAGGATGATATGGCACAACCACAACAAAAACCCAATAGTGTGATATTGGCCAAAGAAACATGCCATATGTCGTCCCTTCCTATGCAGTTCTGGAGAAACTGCATCTAGAATACTGCTTATGTAGCTGAGCACCTTGCTCCCAGAAAGGTGTTGAACTGGAAGGAGTTAAAAGAGCAAAAGAATAAATAAAAAGGTCAACAGGCTAGTGGAATTGATGTAGGAGGGGAAAGTGACAGAGCTAATGTACCGTCATTATATTTGGTTTGGCTGAATACCAATTAAAAGGGATTAGTTTACTCACTATGGTCCCAATGCTGGAATGTGACCTGCTGGCACAGACCCCTGCACATGTGTAGAATCCCAGTTAAGACATTGGATGAAATTCTGACCCTACTGAAGTCAATACTAGTTTTGCCATTGACTTCAGTGAAACCAGAATTTCGCCGAAAAGGTCTCTGAAGGTGTGGATTGCTTTGTGCTAGAAAATCCCGTTGCAGGACTGGGGCCTATAGAAGGGGAAGAATTGTTTGGGGCTGGTTCAAGGTGTATAATTGCATGTAAGGGAATGAACTAAGGATATTTGGCTGAATAATATCAGGAAACATTTCCCAAGAGCAAGATCTATTGCTCTGTGAAGTAGTTCCCAAAAGATGTGGGGAAGCACCCATCACATGCAATTTAAAATGGAACTGGATGAAGTATTAGAAACATATACTAGGGAACAATCCCTCTCTGGCTTATGAGGAAATAAGATATATTTGTCTTTTCTAATGTCTATGGTTCTCTAATATGAATTGCTGCCCTGACAACACTATGTTCCTTAGTGTCCAATTTTCTTTCCTAATGCAGTGTATACGTATGTTCAGAGCCGATTTTATCGCTCCCCTGAAGTGATTCTTGGTCACCCGTATGCTACTCCTATTGATATGTGGAGCCTGGGATGCATCATGGCTGAACTTTACACAGGCTATCCCCTTTTTCCAGGAGAGAATGAAGTAGAGCAACTTGCCTGCATCATGGAGGTAGCTTCTGGGATATTTTAGTCATAACATCAAGGTGCTGTTTCCTCCATCCCTTACATGCATGTCTTGGAAACAGAGCATTTTGTAATTTGATGAATTGTTCGAACAGTACCTTCCCCGGGGGTTCATTGACATGAGTTTGCTAAACTGCACTCCCAGCAACAGAATGACACATGAAGAGACTCAAATATTTTCTGGAGCTGGGCTGGCTGTGAGAGGGAAGCTTATCACAGCCAGGGGGCCCAGTGAGAAGAGGCAGAATGTGAAGCTGCTGCCTCCGCTTTGTGTGGCAAACCAGCGGCCTGTGGTGAACGTTGTTGGTCTGTTCAGTCACTCTGCTATTTCTGTCTTTATGGGGAGCACACTGTAATGTGATCAGAATTGTAGGGAGCGGTTCTGACCAAAGAAGTATGTTTGAGTCTAAGGGGGAAGCAAAGCAAAATACAATATTTTAATTTTTCTCCTTTTCCTAATACATTTTTTGTTTGTACTGCCATGTAATGTACCTGGGGCCAACTGGGAAAATGATGCAAAAGTTATGGCAGGTACAATGTTTTGCAGTCAGTCTTCTAGGCAAGTCTGACTAATGAGAGCATATCACTTTGTTGCCCAGCATCCTATGCTAGCTCCCTGTCTGATTTTAAACCCAGGGCAAGCCCTGACTTAGCAGGTGCAAAGCTGCTGCACTGTCCCTCTCTGCAGTCTCCCACAGTAACTACGTTGATCAACAGGAGTGCTATTCTTCAGAGTCCCCCTGTGAAACTTCCAGGGCTGGGGAAAGAGCTGTCTCAACAGAGGGATGTAGGTGTTGTAGATGCTATTAGTCAGATCAGAATGAGCCCAACTGTGAAAACAATTCTGTTTAAGTAAGACCTCCATTAATGACAGAGCAACTTAGCCTGGCAGCGTTCTTTATGGAAGATGACAACCATCAAAATTTATCTACTGTGAGAAGACAGCTTAAAATGGAGAGTGTGAAGTCCATTTTCAATCAATTATAATGGATCCCATGGTTCTGTATATGGACCTTAGATACTGTATTACAGGGAGAGGCACATTAAAAATGAGGGTGGGTTAGAGAGAGCTGTAGACATTTCACTCCATGCATCTGAAGAAGTGGGTTTTTTACCCACGAAAGCTTATGCCCAAATAAATCTGTTAGTCTTTAAGATGCCACCAGACTCCTTGTGGTTTTTGTGGCTACAGACTAACACAGCTACCCCTCTGAGACATTTTACTGTAAATTGCCAATGTAAATAAGAGGAGGAGGAACAGCATATCCATCTTTCGCCAAGGCTGCTAGAGATGTTGAAGAAATAGTGAATAACTCCTCGTATTAATTTTCTGTCTTGAAGATATTGGGTCTTCCACCAGCTGATTTTATTCAGACTGCATCAAGAAGACGAACGTTCTTTGGTAAGCGCCTGTGATTATCTTTCTTTATTGTATCACTCCCTGGGCTTTTAAGTCTCCTCTCTGCTATTGCCTTTGATGTGCAGGTGGAGAATGGGGTTAGAAGAACTTCAGATTCTTCTTACCTGGGTCACCACTTCATTCAAACTGCTTTTAGGAACAAATATCCATAAGAAATAAATAATTTGAGGACTATACAAAAACTCAGTGATGTGCTGTCGATAGTTTAAGGTCCTCCCACTGCAGAGATAACAGAGGAGAGACTGAGAAATCTATGTTTGTTTTCCTGTTTTAAAACAAGGGTTTTCTCATTGCTAAAACCATGGAAGGAGGCAACACCACTTAGGAAACAAATCTGTATTAAGTGCACTTTACTAGAACTGATTATTCTTTGGTCCTGAAAAATATGCAAAGTAAAGTGGTAACACAGCACAGCATTCAATCCGTATAATTTCAGATAGCTATGCTAGAGGGATTACTCACACAGCAGTGCAAGCCATGTACTGGTGGGATGGTTGTAATATGGGAAAACGCATTTCATTGCTCTCATAAGACCCTGTTCAGGACTTCTTATTCACACTGACTTCAATAAGGATTTTACCCTAAATAAGGAGTCAGAGTTTAATGCCAGAAGACACCACCAGATCATCTAGTGTGGCCTCCTGTGTATCACAGGTCACCAGCACCACCCAGCACCTACACGCTAAACCAAACAACCAAAATGAAACCAAAGAATTACAGCCCTCAGGAGAATAGACTGTTATGTGCCACAGGCAGAGACTAGGAGGGACCGAGGTCCCTACAATGATAAGGAAATGATTAAGGGAGATATACAAGAAAATCCCTTCCCACCTATTGTGCTCAGACCCTGAGCATATGAGCAAGAACCAACCAGCCAAGCACCTGGGAAAGAGAGAATTCTCAGTGCCATCTCACAGGCCTGGCCCCAAGTAGGGTTCATTGTGTTCTAGCTAAATACCAACTGGGTAATTATGTTCAACCTACCTACCATTCAACAAGCTTCAATGGAACATGGCATTCTTCACTTCCTGTCCTAAGCAGCTGTGTAGTGCATTTCTGTGTTGTTAACCAGTTGTCATGTTTCACCTGAGATAGGTGCAGGTCAGTGGTAGGTAAAGATATTTCTTGTGTGTAAGTTTGTGAAGAACTTTGGGGTCCTTTTGGATGAAAGTCATTATGTAAATGTAAGTCATTTTCCTTATGGATTTAGATCTCTTTGTAGGACTCTGTAAAGTTCACACTACTGAAGGGCAACATCATAACTACAGCTAAACTGTTACTGTGCAAAATGTTTACATGACTTAAAAGCATATTTTGTTTTTAAAGATTCCAGAGGTTTTCCTAGAACTATAACAAACAGCAGGGGAAAAAAAAGACACCCAGACTCCAAGGATCTAAGTATGGTATTAAAAACTCATGATGCTGCTTTCCTGGATTTTCTGAGAGGCTGCCTAATGTAAGTTACTTTTTACTTCTTTATTTTCTGCAGACTTGTTTGACATTAAGTCCCTGCTTTATTTCTCTTAGACCTTTAAAAACTTTTGTATCTCTGTTTTTTCACCAATGTTTATTTTATAGGCCCATCCTTGTAGCATTTGAGTGCCTTTGACAAACATTAATGAACTTTTTTGCCCTAGATCCCTAAATGGCCCCCTCAAGGATTGAACTCACAACCCTGGGTTTAGCAGGCCAATGCTCAAACCACTGAGCTATCCCCCACCCCCTACTGTGGACCCTGTCCTGCAGAGTGGGGGCTAGGGACACACATGCCTAGGGACAGATCTAACCAGGAGTCAGAAACTCTGAAGATCTTTTTTTTTTTAAACACTCTATTGTATTTAGTATGAAGTACAGTACAGATTGGGCAAGACACATAACTAGAGGTCTACTAAATTCGCAGCCATAAAAATTCATCATGGATTGATTATCTGGTCTCCCCCATGAAATCTGGTCTTTTGTGTACTTTTACCTATACTATAGGGTAAGAGTATACAAAAGTACACAGTGTTTCTCAAACTGTGGGTCTTAACCCAAAAGGGGGTTGCAAGCCTATTGTAGGGGGGTGGCAATATTGCCACCCTTACTCCTGCGCTGCCTTCAGAGCGGGGCGGCCAGAAAGAGGCGGCTGCTAGCCAGATGCCCAGCTCTGAAGGCAGCACTGCCGCTAGCAGCAGCGTAGAAGTAAGGATGGTCTGGAATATATTATATGAATGCATCTGCAAAATTTGCTATTTATGCTGTGACTGACCTGCAAAAAATGTGCTATTTCTCCACGGTTTAAGTAGACCCCGGCACAAAATCTCTCTGCACATTAGTTTTACTGTCTTTAAATTGGAAATAATAATACTGACTTTCTTAACTCATTGGGGTGATGAAAGGATTAATTAGTAAATGTTTATAAAGCTCTAAACCCTGTGTCTGTCTTCTCTAGTTAGACAGTAAGCTCTTTGGGGCAGGGACCATCTACTATTCTGTGTGCTTAGCATAATGGGGTCCCATTCTTCGTTGGTCCTTAGGCGCTGCTGTAATAAACATGTTCAATAATAATAGTAAACCATGCAGGCCTGTATCCCACTCCTGAGGCAACCACCTATTAACTTCTGTCTATTATGAAAATCAGTCATTTAATACAACTCTTGTTCCTGTGACCTAACAATTTTTGAATTCCTGACAAGTCTTTGCCTTTTGTCCCTTGGCTATTTTTTTCTTTTTACTACTTCTATTTACTACTTCTGAAAAAATAAACATTGTTCTGGGCCACTGTAGATGGGAAGGTTTCAAAAATTATTCAATAGCATTTTTTCATGCTAGTTATTGGAGTAGATTCCTATCAACCAGGGGAACCTCGAGGGCAAGTCAAGGTCCAAACATTTCCCAGGAAGTTGTGGGTTGAAATCCTGACTTTATTGAAGTCAATGGGAGTTTTGTCATTGACTTCAGTTACTCTCTTAACTGACACGGATCAACTGCAAGTTTTTCATTGCTGGTGAATACAAATAGCAAACAATTTCTGTTAATCTTCAAGGAAGATACAACTTCAGTAGGTTATCTAGATCATAAACCCTTTGAGGATAGAAACCTTCTCTTCATGCCTGTTGGTAATTGTCTTGCACACTGTGGGTGCCATGCAAATGATAAATAAGTACCAACAAATATCATGGCTGTCTTCATTTCTTCCTTCTGAAAAAAAACAACAACCCTGTACATTCATTTGCAAATGAAGTGCAGCACTTGAGTTTCCAGCATGTTGCCACTGTCCCCCTGTCACCACAAAGTAAAGGTGACCTGTTATGAATCAAACTGAGGCGGAAGAAGCAAAACTCTTGGGAGTTGAGAGTGCTGAGCACTTCCCAGGATTGCATCTCACAGACCTGCTAGTATGTGGTGTGATCTTTTATCTCGAAAAATAGAAGTGGTGGAGACTAACAAAACACTCTAGGAAGGTGGATTTAGTAGTATCCTGCTGCAAAACTGTCACAAAGATTTACCAGCCTACACACAAAATACTCATCTGCTTTTTACCAGAATGATGGATGTTAATAATCACACTAACAATGTTTTATTCACCAGCCAAAATAAAAGACTTGAACCAGCGAAGGATTGAATTTTGAAAACAATGAACCAGATTTTGCTCTCACTTACATTGATGTAACTTGGCACCGGAGGAGTTACTCCTGATTTACACCCATGTAAGTGACAGCAGTATCAGCTCCCTTGCCAGTTTTACTGTTATCTATGCACTATGTCAGGTTGGAATTTTGGACCGTGTTCAGCACTTTCTGTGCAAGATCTTTGTTACCCGTTATTATTACTTTCCTGAAGAAACCCTCAAAAACAGCTTCAGGATTTACTACTCTGTTTGTAGGGTTGCTCTTCTGTAAATCTCAACTTGCAGTTATGTGGTTTTGAACGGTGACCTAGTTACACAAAAAATCTTTCCCTTAACGAGGAACATCCCTTTAACATTCCAGTGTAGTGGCCCAGTATCTTTCTTACAATGGCTCTGTGGAGTTCTAATGAGCGCCATGGACAGTTTTGACATTAGACTAGTCAGAAGAAAGGAATACAGTTTGTACGAGGTACAACTAATTGAGGAAGTACCTATCTGCTAGGGGATTGCAACTGCTGCTCAATTCTAACACCTTTTCTTGGCACTAACATCATTTTAGGATTTTAAGGCTCTTGGGCACATATACAGAATGAATCCTCTGATAATATTGTGATTTGCATGTGAGGATCTGTGGTAAGCATTTGGCTGTTTGATACTGCACAGAATTTGATCAGTAATTCAGGCAAATTTTCAGAAAGCAGAAAGAGGGTTTTGGCAAATGGAATTATGGATAAAGGCAAACAGGCTATTTTACTGTTTGTGAATTGAAAAATGTCTTCATGGCTCAATTTTCCTGAAGACAATGAAAGTATTTTCTGGCCTAACCTAAGTTTATTGTATTTTTCATTTTTAGCATTATAAACAAACACTGTTCAATAATTATTTATCATTTGTATATTTTAAGGTGGGAACCTGCCCTCCGCATGACTCCGGATGAAGCAATGCAGCACACATGGATCCAGGAACCAAGAATACATAAATCAAAACAAAATCGCCACTCTGCAAGTGAAAGCTCCTTCTTCACACCAGAGAAGAAGGAGAATGTATATAAACACACACTGCCTGGACAAGGAGGTGCAGTAGTCTGAATATTTGAAGTTCTTTATTCTTAATAATATTCATCGCTTGTACGTGTTGGCAGTTATGATTTTTAGAGGCCTTCATGTCTGAGCAAATAGCTTTGTTAAAAAGAAAGGATGAAGTAATGTAAAATGATGGAATGCTCCATAGAAGCATCGGCCATACCCACAGCCAGAGGTTTCAGAGTAGCAGCCGTGTTAGTCTGTATCCGCAGAAAGAACAGGAGGACTTGTGGCACCTGAGAGACTAACCGATTTATTAGAGCATAAGCTTTTGTGGGCTACAGCCCACTTCATCGGATGCATAGAATGGAACATATAGTAAGAAGATAGATATATACATACAGAGAAGGTGGAAGTTGCCATACCTCCATTGGCCACACCACTTCTTTCCCGCTTCTTTGGTAGAAACAGGGAGTTACCCGGTGGGTCATGTGGTTTATCTGCAGCCCGACAGGCTAAATATAACAACTAAAGGCCCATAGGTTCATGCAGAAAGAGCCTTCATACAGTGATCTTGGTAGGAAAAGAATCAGAGACAGCATCTGCAATCCATCCACAATGCACTTTAGTTCTTAGGGCAGAAAAAATGCATGGGGGTTGGTGGTTCTGCTCCTCTGAAATGTTGAAGCAATAATTGATTGGGTCTTTGCAGATTTAATTTGGGCCTGTGGACACATTACAGTTTCACACTGTCATTTTTTTATTTTATTTCATACAGAAGAAAACACCTGTCAAGACATGGTTGATAAAGTAAAAGGTGAACTGCCTGAAAATCCTACTGCTGCAACTGAAAGACTAACTCTCAATGCAGCTTCCTCAGACACAATGGAAAATAAAGTGCAACACACAACCAAACAGGTTATTCCAGAGAAAGATCTGGAAAACCCAGTGGAAAAGGCTATCAAAAGAGACAAGGCAGAACATAGCAGTGAAACAGCTCTTCACAAAAATTCAATGTTCTTACCACCAATTAAGTAACATTCTGCACAAGCAGCTATTGGTCTGGTTTCTATACCTGCCTGGTATGTTTTGTAGGTAACCATTTAACTGTACAATATTCAAGAACATCATTTTAAATTATAACTCTCCACACATGGGCTGTGCACGTTTGTTAGACATTTTTAATCTCGATTAGTCCAGGTAACCAAAGCAGAATGTGCGTTGAACGTTCCTGAACGTTACCAACATTCTTGTTGTGATAAGAGATTCTTCACAACCCACAGCAATATTTTTAATAAAAAGGAGACTCTAGAGGTGGATAGAGACTTATTCTTGGTATTATACTGGACACTTGCATTCAAAGACTCCTGCTTCTTGGGAGTTAAAAGCCTAAAAAAACCACAGAGGTCACAAGGTCTGAATCTAATCTCATTTAAACCAATATAAATCAGAAATAACTCTACAGAGGTTAGTGGATTTATACCAGCGTAAATGAGAGGAGAATCAAACTCATAGTGTCTCCCTCTCTGAGAGGGGAGAGTCAGATACGGGTCATTAGTAGCACCTCTGAACAGAATTAGAAACCCACGTTAAGTTCTATAGTGACATGCACACTGCAAAGCAGGTATTTATAAAAGGCAACAGGAGAGAAGGCTACCAAACCATGGTATGCATTACACCCTTCTACAGGGACTCCACTCCCTTTTTATATCAAACCAGAAGGGTGGATGAAAGAGAGAGTCAATGTCCAGGTGAATGAACCCTCAAAGGGAGTCTGACTTAATGCATTACAAAATCAGATTTATATGACTGCCAGCCCCAGTCATTAACCTATCTTTTGACATGTCTTTACAGCACCCAGCACAATGGGGATCTGATCCCTGACTGAGGCTATAGGTGCTACAAATAAGAATAATAAGGACGCTATCCTGCAGGATTCAGGGAATACCATCTCAGTGATCGCACAGTGGTCCCAGAGCACAAGAGCAATTGGGTGGGTTACTGGAGTCACACTATCACACATAGGCTCTACAGGCCAGGAAAAATTCCTGCAGGACATAGGAATGATCACATCAATGACCTCATCAAGGACGAAGACAGGCAAACTGTCCTGTAGGATACAGGGTGACTGTATCAGTGACTTCCTGGAGGCCCTATACCAGGTGATAGAGGGTTAACTGTATCGATGATCTCACAGAAGTGTTGAGCAGGTAAACTGTCCTGGAAGATACAGTCTGACTGTATCATGTAGCTTAGAAAATGTTTGTGCTAAGGGCAAGGGTGCAAGGAACTGCTAAGAGCCAGCAAAGGCATGAAGGCAAGAGGATAAATTGGATGTCAGAGATAGAGCACAGAGTTCAGCGGCTGGAACTGTTTGAAGTACTATCTGTATACCATCAGGTTCCTGCTTGACACTGGAAACTATGGGAAGCCCATGAGTATCCAACTGAAATGCTGATTACCTGTTGGACGCTGCTGATAGTTCTCACAACATTACTACCTGAAACATCCCTGCAATCAAACACTGAAAAACAGACTATCGCCACTGTCAGAATTGTAGTTGAATAGCAGAGGGGGAATTCAGGCTGTTTGAATTTGATTATTATTCATTCTCCCTCGCTATTGTGCTTAGTGACTTAGATGCTTAGATTACTCTCATCTAAAATATCTGTTCTCCTCTCAGAGTTACTCACTTGTGTATTTGTCTGCTCCAATTGGATCAAATTGGGACTGCAGTCATTCTTGATTGCACTGGAGTTTCCAGAATGAAACTACAGACACAGTTTGGCTTGTTGCGTCTTTGCTGCAATTACATTCTCTAGATGATCTGTTTTGCAGAGACCATCTTCCAGTAGCTTTATTATATTCTCTGGCACGTACACTGATATCTCCCAACTTCGCAGTAAACCTGCTGTTGAACATCCCAGGAGCATTCTCAGTGCTGAGGGTGATGTGAGATAGAAAATCATCTGACACTGGAATTCAGTCTAACCATCCTCTCACTCATCAGAGGCAGAGTCTATGTTGATGGTATTTGAGTATAGTTGCATAGCTCCATATTTGTTTCATATTTTCCCTTCCTTGTGTCCACATTTTTCATGTTAAGTCATCAGCCTCCACATCCATCTCAACCATGGTCACCTCCTTCATTCTCTCTGGACAGTGTCTCCTTTAGTTAACAATCAGATTCATGCTTAGAGACCACAGGGATGAGCATTGGGTATAAATTCTAAGAGAGGCAGGCAGACAGCTCTTCTCTTCAGGTGCCTCCACTGCCCTCAAGTTCTCCTGCAGAACAGAAAACAGTGGGTGTGGCCTATCATGTACATGTAGCCCTCCTGTTCTTCATGCAGTAAAAGGAGTCTCCAAAATACAGAGCAAGCCTGTGGTCAGTGCTCTGCTCATTGTGCCTAAGAACAGGCAAAGTGACAAATTGTTGCAAGCCAAAAGAATACCTGAATGACTCACAGTTTGAGAAGCCCAATTTACAGGCCTTATTTTATCCCTATAGCTTAAATGTACATTATCTTTCCTTTTTTATAGTTCTTTTTTTAAAAATGCATTATGGAACCTGTTGTCTGTTAATAATAATCGCACTGTGCCCTTCTGTAGCACCTTGTGCTCAAGAACTAAAGGCATTTTGCAGATATAAATTAAGCACCACAACACCCCCCATTAGGTTGCGTATGTATTATTATTAGGGCTGTCAATTAATTGCAGTTAACTCACGTGATTAACTCAAAAAATTAATCGCAATTAAAAAAAGATTTTTTTTACATTTTCAAATATATTGATTTCAGATACAATACAGAATACAAAGTGTACATTGCTCACTTTATATTATTATTTTTGATTACAAATCTTTGCACTGTAAAAATGATAAACATAAGAAATTCACCTCATACAAGTACTATAGTGCAATCTCTTTATCATGAAAATGCAACTTACAAATGTAGATTTTTTGTTACATAACTGCACTCAGAAACAAAACAATGCAAAACTTTACAGCCTACAAGTCCTACTCAGTCCTACTTCTCATTCAGCCAATCTCTAAGACAGACAAGTTTGTTTACATTTATAGGAGATAATCCTGCCCACTTCTTATTTACATTGTCACCAGAAACTGAGAACAGGCATTTGCATTGCACTTTTTAGCCGGCATTGCAAGGTATTTATGTGCCAGATACACTAAACATTCGTCCGCCCCTTCATGCTTCAGCCACTGTTCCAGAGGACATGCTTCTATGTTGATGCCGCTCGTTAAAAAAATAATGCGTTAATTAAATTTGTGACCGAACTACTTGGGGGAGAATTGTATGTCTCTGGCTCTATTTTACCTGCATTCTGCCATATATTTCATGTTATAGCAGTCTCGGATGATGACTCAGCACATGTTCATTTTAAGAACACTGTCGCTGCAGATTTGACAAACCGCAAAGAAGGTACCAATGTGAAATTTCTAAAGATAGCGACAGCACTCAACCCAAGGTTTTAGAATCTGAAGTGCCTTCCAAAATATGAGAGGGATGAGGCATGGAGCGTGCTTCCAGAAGTCTTAAAAGAGCAACACTCCGATACGGAAACTACAGAACCCCAACCACCAAAAAAGAAAATCAACCTTCTGCTGGTAGCATGTAACTCACATGATGAAAATGAAGATGTGTTGGTCTGCACTCCTTTGGATGGCTATCGAGCAGAACCCATCATCAGCATGGAAGCATGTCCTCTGGAACAGTGGTTGAAGCATGAAGGGACATATGAATCTTTAGTGCATCTGGCATGTAAATATCTTGCGACGCCAGCTATAACAGTACCATGAGAACAACTGTTCTCACTTTCAGGTGACATTTTGAACAAGATGTGGGCAGCATTATCTCCTGCAAATGTAAACAAACTTGTTTGTCTGAGTGATTGGCTGAACAAGAAATAAGACTGAGTGGACTTGTAGGCTCAAAAGTTTGACATTGTTTTAATTTTGGATACAGTTATTTTTTGTATGTAATTCTACATTTGTAAGTTCAACTTTCATGATAAAGAGATTGCACTACACTACTGGTATTAAGTGAATTGAAAAATACTATTTCTTTTATTTTTTACAGTGCAAATATTTGTAATAAAAAATAAATATATAGTGAGCACTGTACACTTTGTATTCTGTGTTGTCATTGAAATCAATATATTTGAAAATGTAGAAAACATCAAAAAATATTTAAATAAATGGTATTCTGTTATTGTTTAACGGTGCGATTAATCATGCGATTAATTGTGATTAATTTTTTTAATTGTGTGATTAATCACGATTAATTTTTTTAATCACTTGACAGCCCTAATTATTATCCAAATTCACACAGCAAGTCAATGCCAGAGCCAAGAAGGGAACCCAGGAATTCTGACTCTGACTCCCTGTTCTCTCTCTTACTTGATCTTAAATTAAATTATGTATAATTTACTTAATGTTGCTAAATATATTGTCATGTTACTCATGTAATATTCTTAAAACACTACATTCTTAACAAAAATAAAACAACAAAAGAAGCAGCCATTTATACCTTTGCACCCTGGTTGTTAGATCCTTGTTTAATACTCTGAGACATGAACGTCAGGTTTGTATAATTTTTGGTGGTGCCCAGAATGGGTCCAAGCAGAGCCATCCTGTCCATAGAATGGACTGGGGCAACCGCCTCGGGCCTCGCACTTCGGGGGGCCCCGCACTTCAGGGGGATGTGGGGTCCAGGGCAACCTGGGGGGGTTATCGGGGGGCCTGGCCCCAGCCTGCCCCGCTCTGCTCTGCTCTGCCCCGTGGCTCCCAGTGTCGGTCAGGGGGAGGGGGTGAAAGTGAGAAAGAGGCGGGGTGGGGACAGGGGCTGGGGGAATGGATAGAGTGGGGGCGGGGCAGGGGTGGATCAGGGACAGGAAGGGGTGAGGCAGAGCAGGGTGGGCTGGGGCCAGATTGCTCAGTGCTGCTGGCACCAGGCCTCCCCGCTAACCCCACAGGCCCCCCTGGTTCCTGTGTCCTCCTGAAGCACGGGGCCCCCCAAAGTACAGGGCCCCCAAAGGGCGGAGCCCGGGGAAGTTGCCCCAGTCCGTCCTATGGACAGGATGGCTCTGAAAATATAAGCCCTAACATTGGTGGGGCTGGGCCCACGTTCCTGAATATTGGTGGAGCACAGGCACCATGGGCCATATAACTCACTGCCTATGTTCTGAGGCCATCTAGTGTTGGAAGTGGTTTCACATTTGAATTTTGTGGCGTGTATTATTTACTGCAATTCTTCAGATTCTCTGTTTAACAATGTTATACCAATTTCTCCCCCCCCCCCCCCCAAATAGTATTCTAGCCAGCTTAGTAGTTTGAGCACAATGTAACACTGGGATGATCTCGGTTTGTATCTAGAACCTGGTACTTACTCCACAAGTTAGCAGCGGCAGGGTGTGCTGCAGAAGCAGCATGTGTAGCCCCGAATTAGAAAATGTTCCCTTTGCGGTTTTAGGAGCAAAGTTCACCACTGGCAGGAAGAGAACCCAGGAGTCCTGTAACCCAGCCCCCCATGCTCTAATCCACCTGATCCCACTCCTGTCCCAGAGCTGGGGATAGAACACAGGAGCCTTGGCTCCCAAGCTCCCAGCCTCCCCTGCTCTAACCACCGAAACGTCAACCCCCTCCCAGGGATGTCTCTACTGCTATCTCCTCCCCCAAGGCAAGGCCCAGGTAGCTGGGGAGAGGTGCCGGCTGGCTGAGCTCCCCTGGGGAAGGAGGGCTGTGGATACGTGAGTTTGCAGCTCACCCAGCCGTACAGGTGGGCAGGAATGCGCTGCAGGGGGGAAATGTGCCTCAGGGTTAATTTTGCAATGCTCAGGGCTGTGAAATCTCCCATCTGCATCATGGGGCAGCCTTGGGTGACCTCTCCAGGACAGGTATTTGCCCACCTGCCTGCCGTACCCACAGCCAGCTGCTTCATCGCTGCTCTGTTCATGGCAGCAAATGCCCGGGCAGCATGTGGGAGCCCCTGCCCCTCTGCCTGCTGTCCAGTCTCCTGGCCACAGGTGAATTCATCCATCCCTGGACACAGGGATCCGGGCACTGGAGGGGGTGGGAATTCGCCCGGGGAGTGTGCCTCTTTCAATGGTGGATTCTTGGGTCAGGATGGAATATGTGGCTAAAACCAGCGAGAGGAAAACCCAGAGCAATGTCCACCCGGCTGACTTGGGGAGAGCAGGGGTTTGACCCTGGGACTCCCACATCCCACACGAGGGCCCTGGCCAGTGGGCTGTGGGTCACCCTGGGTGATGGAGTCGGGATGTGAGTCCATCTGTCCTTCTCCTAGATCCTCCTCCAAGAGTGACAAGGAGCCGGAAAAGTTTGGAAATCATGTAAAATTCTCAGGAGCCAGGAAAATTGTCTCCCACTGCTCTCCACTTGTAATCCTGCTTGGAAATGTTAGCCTGCCCCCCTAGCACTGAGATACCTGCCAGGACGCCTGGGTTCTATCCCTGGGTCTGGGAGGGGAGGAGAGGGTGGTTTAGTGAATTAGAATGGGCTGGGAATCAGCAATCAGGTCTCCTGGGTTGTATTCTTGGTTCTGACTCAGACTCCACCTCTTTGTGCCTCGGTTTCCCTATTTATTAGGTGGGGATAATATTGCCTTCCTACCACCTAGAGCAATGGCAAAGGCAGGGAGGAGGAGTTCTGAGGTTGAAGTGATGTTTCCAGATGAAAGCTCTGAGAAAACCCAAAGTGGACCAATTGTTTTCTTTCTTCCTTCAATTAAAAAAATTATGTTCATTTAATGAATCCAAACTCTCCCAAAATCTGAACAGGAAAGAGTTAACAATCATGGGATCTCTTCAGCCAGCCCGGATTTCTTAGCATGTATGATGGAGGCATAAAGCCATCAATGGAAAGGGTTAACAATCATAAATCAAATTCCGAAGAAGAGAATTGACACGACCACAGATGAAAAGTGGGCCAGGAGCTCCATCATGGCTGAGCTAATGTTACTCTGGGAGGCAGAGTCCCCAAACAGCAAGTCAGAAAGGTGGGGTAGGTGAAAGGTTCACCCAAAAGCCAGGCAGAAGCCCCTCTCCACAGAAGCATAATTCTATTTTTCTGTTTATACAGTCATGTGGTGGTTGTTTGCACACACGAGTTATAGCCAGCTCTGCAGCTGAAAATTTACTGCAGCCACAGACAGGCAGCAAACAAACTTGTCTATGGCTTTCAAGAAGATACAAGTAACCAGCTAGCAAGATGCCTTTCCCCATACATTGAGTTGTATGGAACTGGGCAGAGTTGGGACAAAAGCACATAGAATTTCTCCAAGATCTACTTGCCCACACATTCAGTGAGGTGGCATTGGTGGTAAGAACTACCACAGCGCCACCTCTTGGTTCCAGGTGGTATTTATCACATGGGCACTGGAGCTGGGATTTGAACTGAGAAGGGATTTTTCCAACCACCAGGGAGCGCTCTGCTATGCGAGGTGTGTGAATCTAAAGAAGAATCATGCTTCTGTCCCCTGCAGCTCTTTGCCCCTTTGGAAGGGACCTGCCTCATCGGTGTGGCAGGGTTCAGCGTGGGTGAGTGAAACAAGATGCCTACTAAGTGTAGATGCAATTGTCCTCCTGGAGCCAGGGCTAGAACCTGTGAGTCCTAGTGCCCACCCCTCCCCCCGCGCTCTAACCACTAGACCCCACTCTCCCCCTGGAGCTGGGTCTCCTCCATCTGGAAAGATAATGTAATAGATGGAGGATGGGATGAGCTGGGGGAATTGCAGTGGGTGG